GCAGCCCTTGTGGCTGTCGCTCGGGGTATTCGGAAATTGGAGCCCTTTTCATGCATCGCTTCTGAAAAACCGATAAATAAAACGATGCCGGGGGATGTGGCCATCGTGTGCGTATAATGGACTGGTGGCGACGTGCAAGTAAAACGACGGCTTGACTTTCTGACTTTATCCAATGGCGTGTGATTATTGTTAATCACCCTCCTGAGTCCTGACCAAGAGGTAATCGTGGTACTACATGCAGTACTAGCGCTACTGTTGCCAAGAAGTTTTCAGTGCAGAGGCAAATACGGATCGATTGGATTATTCTTTAGCCGGGTGGACGAACCGAGTGATTTGTCAAGGCGCTCAAGGTGCCTTTTTAACCCAATAAAAAAATCTGTACTTTCTGATCTTCAATTAAGATATGGATCGGAGTAAGTTGGATCAACAGCAATGTGAACGGATCGTGCCGTATCTCCATGCTTGCGGCCCGGCACTGCTGGACGGCTGGTAAGATGCACGCAGATTATCTACTTATCTGATGATGCCAGGAGGATGCGATCTCCACGCCCATGACGCCAGCCGAGAAAAGTGCATACGGCCAAGGCCGCCCTTTTCGCGCTGGTCTCGAATGAACAACTCGGATGATGAGAAACCCCTGCGCGTTTTCTTATTGTTTCCGCTGTGCAGGTTGCCGGGGCTGATCTGACCTCTCCGCAAATATTAATCCGTGTCTCCATCGAATGGGGAATTATAGAACTTGAAGTGTGATGCGCAGCGACAGTGACATGTACCCAGCTATACCTGCAATCGACCTGTGGCGGGTGTACACGCCATTTCGTTTTTCACTTTCTTCATGCACACTGTGGCAAATCTCACGTTGTTGCTACATCGATTACCAATTAGTTAAAGAAGAAAACTAGTGAAATTTAGACAGACTTTTGCAAAATTTGATCGAACTGTTTTTCTATTTGTACCGGCTTGATAAGTTTGATATAATAACCATGATAATCAAACTACTACGTTAAATTTGTCAACCCTGTTCTTCCTTCCTAGCGACCTTCTTCTTGTTGAATGGTCGCATATGTAGATTTAGCCCCCCAAATCTAGCGGATCTATGCCAGAGAGGAGGGTACATATCCTAATAAAATTTCGGTAATTGAGGTCACCCGTGACATCAAATGGAAAGGAATTTCGGGGGATCAGTTGGGGGTTAGATTATTAGGATGCAAGCAAAGCAATAATAGGGGACCATAGCATTGTTCAAGAATCGTACGCCTTTTGAATTTGGATTTGTTATTATCAGCAAAAACGGCCTTACTTTTCAATTTCCCAACTGTTGCAGCTGCCATTGGAGCACTTGGCACTTGCAGTGTTCCGATGTGCAGCGCAAAGTATTCTAAACTGCACGATCTAGGAATGCGCTGTCGCCATGTTCTTGCGTAGCTGAGTATTTATTCATAGGAATGGCAGGGTGCGTACTGTTTTTCTTAAATAAATAAATAACAGTAAAGGTACAGAAGAATTGGACAATTTTGTAGAGCACATGTACAGCAAGGGGAAAAATATTTTGATCTCGCAGAAATATCCTCTCGTTTGTTTAAAAACGTTCATCCAAACGGTTATGAAAATTTTTGACAACACTCACACAACATATCTATACAACTCCACAAAATCTTAGGTTCAAACTCATCTCATACTCCGACATATATATATATATATATAAAAAGATAAATTCAGCGTATGAATAATAGGCTGAATTTAAACTTAATTTTTAGTGGACCGATGGATATCTCTATACTCTACATTGTCAATTTTCTTTTAGAATTTTTCACAACTATTTACATCAAGTTTGAAAGAAAAAGGTATACGAGGGGACATCCCCTTGAGGGATTAGAATCCACTCCCCTTGCAAGGTTGCTAAGCCTGCGACCATACATATGTATCATGTATCCATTTTAATTGTACTTAATTCGGTTAGAGATTGAGAATTTTAGAATATGCAAATGTTTTTATCAGCAGAATTCCATAGATAAAAATATGGCATTTATGTTCATGCATATAACTTTAAGGTATGGGAAGTCCTGGCCTTAGCTTGAAAAGCCAATTGTTATAAAGTTTACATCACAAATACCTGCATGAATGAATCCTAAAGGTAAGACACCAACAAACTTTCCGTTGGAGGTAGGCCATGAGGACCTTCGGCCAACTTGCTAAAACAACAACAGTAACAAGTGAAGGAGCTTGGGGAAGGGGCATACGACGAAGCCTAGGCCATGGAGCAAGGCCACACCACGAAGCGAAGCACCGGGTGGCGAAACCCCTAGTGGCAAAGCGGGTTCATTAGGTGGTGAAGCAAGTTCGGCTAGGATATGCTAATACTAGGAGAAGCCTAATAAACAACCTAGGAGGACCCTGATAAGGTCCATGGGCCGGCTGGTTGGGCCAAAAGATAAATGTTACCCTTATAAACATCCCCGCCAGAGGGACAACCATGTAAATTCACTAGCATACAAAAACCCTAGGTTGTAAACGCATTAATAGATCCCAATGGTTTTTTAATAGAGGATCCGATTTTTCAATTAATATATTTTTACTGTTTTCCTTTTCCTACCGCTCCGAGTGAAGCCTACCTTTCAACAAAAATGTTTGTCATTCAACAACAGTTTTGATGAAATGACATTGTTCGGGAATTAATCCTATCACTAAATCTCTGCCTTGATGGTGGCGTTGCCGGTGCTCTCCAGTGGCGATGGCCCTAGTGGTGACACCAAGAGCGGTTGCTGTTTGTGATAGTGCTTTCTAGTGTTCTATTGTGGACGGGCAATTGCTCTAGGCGCGGTGGTTGTTAGATCGTTGGTTTCCTTGTCCAGATCTAGTTACGTGGATTGGAGGTGATTGCAGCAAGGAGGGGCTTTGGCAGGACAGCGATGAGCTCAGTGGTGATGCTAGCGGCAACCAGGGAGGGAGGAAGGCGAGGAGCAGACGAAGGGCTCGCTGGAGGTGCCAGAAATGGTTAGGGAGCAATGTTTTATCTAGGGCCAAAGTACCATTGGATTGGAGATGTTTGTGCCCGGATCTATTCGTGCAACGTGAAGTGGCATTGGATGGAACTCTTCTTCTTTGTCCCCCTTAGATGGTGTGAGCGAGCAAATGCACTAGCGTTCTAGAGCTGTTGAGTCCAATGAATGAATCCGGTAGTTAGTAGGGGCAAGGCGACAGAGGAATCGAGATCAAAGCATCGATTATGAGAGGTTGTAGGAGATCGAGATGTTTCTCAAGATCATCTCAATGCGATTTTGTGAAGTGGTACTCCTCGCTCTTTTGCAACTGGGCCCATACCGAACTTAGTGTGCTACCTTGTATAGTACGTGCATATAAGATTTAATTGGAGTGTTGTTAAAAAAATGTCATTCTATTAAGCCATAGGACACAACATGTGCAAATGTCCCCTATTAAATAATGTCTCTTGAATTTAGATCCACTCCAACAAACAAACTCACAAACATATGATTAATACTATTCGGTTCGGTGGTACAAAATCAGCAACATGGGCCTTGTTCATGCATATATGATGCGATAAAAGAAAAGTTCAGCGTTGATCGGCTCGTATTTCTTCTTCTTCCCTTCGCTATAGGACACGTTATTTTCATATAAATTATGAATGAAGTCTGAAGGTTGAAGGATAGAACTTACATATTACTAACAAGTGGTTAGGTCCCGTTCTTTTTTCCAACCAGAGTTGGATGAAGATTAAGATTTTCGTGGCACGCTTTTCAAACTACTAACGGTACGTTTCGTGCGAAACATTTCTATATGAAAGTTGCTCTAAAATATCGTATTAATCTATTTTTCAAGTTTGTAATAATTAAAACTCAATCAATCATACGTTAATACCACCTCGTTTTGCGTAAAAAAAACTTAATCTTCATCTTCATCTTTATCTTTAGGAGAAAAGAACAACATCTAAACCATGTCGATGTGGAAAGTTTGTGAAGAAATCATATTTTTGAAAGTGTTAACTGAAGAATGCAAATTGCAGAAGAGGGATCAAGTTGGAGCCTTGGAAGACGATGTCCTTGTTGGTGATCATGACCTTGGAGCGCCCATGCGGCCATGTCTGACCTCTGATCACCATCAACAGCCCATTTCATGCCCATCATGGCATGATCCACGACCACAATCCTGGAACGTCTAATCAAATTGATCATTAAGCCGCACAAGGCTTGAACTTTCTTCAGTCCATTCAACCGAAAGGTGAGATAATGCGACGTGGGAATGGTAATGCGTGACTTCTTCTCTACAGAAGTTCAGAGGAAACTGGCGATCACAGCAACTCAGCTTTACAAATTCATCATCCTCTCTCAGTTGCACTTGTTGCACAAGACAGAGTTATCAATTAATATTGTGTGCACTAACTCCTGGGATGTAATTTATTTCTTAAGATATTGTGTACACTAACTATAATAAAACATTTTGCATTACCTGGCTATGTGGCATGATCCTTGCAAATTATTGACAAAAGCATGCGTTGAGAAAAAAAAAATCTCAGCACGAGCTCGTCGTGACGTGAGTACGGCACCAGGTGTGAAAGGTAACATTTTTACTGTCAGCTGTCAATACTACTGTAAACACACTGTTACTGCACGTGGAAACGAGCTTAATTGGACAGATTTAGCTCGGGTGAAGATGATCAGACCTTGATAGAATCAGCGCATGTGGTCCCGAAAACGAGTGCGCTTTTCCTTTTCAACATTTTTTTCTCGATATGAAAGCATGATGGAGCCTGATTTTTTCTTATTTATTGGATATATAATTGATCTCGACAGAACGACCTTTTTGCCCGCTTCTCCTGCAATATTTATTCGCCATATTGTGCCGAAGAAACGATTTACTAGACAGTAACTTGTCCTACAAAATGTGCTAGTTGTTCTTTTCTTAGTACAGAGAAAAAGTATTGCTTAGAGCACCAGATGCACATACAACATGGAGTTGATTAGTCCTGGCAATAATTAAGGTTACTTCTCTCACAAGCCCTGATCACTACCATGTAGTATAGTCATCTCCCAATCAGCACGAACACGATTCATAAGACTTTCACAAATCAGGGTTAGGTTGATTTGCAGGGGACACCGCCTTTTCAGCTTTATTTTCCTTTCACCTCGGCCTAAAACCGGCCGTGCCACTGCCGCCGCCCAATATATAAACACATCTACTCTCTCGTGCACTACAACTACCACTCGTCCACTCCTAATAACCTACCACTCTACTTCTCCTTGCAACATCGTCGTTAGTCCTCTAACCCAAGGCATTGACCTGAGCTTGTTGTGCGCTTCTGCCTTATCTGCATCCCCTCCCGGCCGAGACGCGACCATCTTTCTTTCCCGCTTCGTTAGCTGTCTCTGCCGATCGATCGGACTGGACGGGGAGACATGAAGGTGCAGTGCGACGTGTGCGCGGCCGAGGCCGCCTCGGTCTTCTGCTGCGCCGACGAGGCCGCGCTGTGCGACGCGTGCGACCGCCGCGTCCACAGCGCGAACAAGCTCGCCGGGAAGCACCGCCGATTCTCCCTCCTCCAACCGTTGGCGTCGTCGTCGTCCGCCCAGAAGCCACCGCTCTGCGACATCTGTCAGGTATGCACGCGGCGAGAGGCTGCTGCTCTTTTTCCTCGGGTTGCTTCTGTTGCTTGCTGCAACTCTGAAGCGTGTGGACTCTCGTCACTTCAGGAGAAGAGGGGGTTCTTGTTCTGCAAGGAGGACAGGGCGATCCTGTGCCGGGAGTGCGACGTCACGGTGCACACCACGAGCGAGCTGACGAGGCGGCACGGCCGGTTCCTCCTCACCGGCGTGCGCCTCTCGTCGGCGCCGATGGACTCCCCCGCGCCGTCGGAGGAAGAGGAGGAGGAAGCAGGGGAGGACTACAGCTGCAGCCCCAGCAGCGTCGCCGGCACCGCCGCGGGGAGCGCGAGCGACGGGAGCAGCATCTCCGAGTACCTCACCAAGACGCTGCCCGGTTGGCACGTCGAGGACTTCCTCGTCGACGAGGCCACCGCCGCCTCCTCCTCCTCAGACGGGCTATTTCAGGTCAGTTCATCCACTGTTAACGATCCAAACTTTCCATGGCAACGAAAACCTGAATACGTATTCAGTCCGGTTCATGCATGAAACCCTGAAAAACCAATCCACACACGTTCTTGTGAGCACCATGAACGAAGCACAGGCAAAGCACGGCGCGCCAAACTCTGTTCAGGCCCTGCCGGCCGTCGTGGGCACATAAGCCAATCTGTTCACAATATCGTGAGCGGACAAATTTTACCATGCAGGTAGTTTGTAGTCATGCTCACACAGCTAGCAATAACAAAAAATATATGTAATTGCTGGACCAGGGTGTCAGGATAATATCCTGTGGAGACCACAAAAATAAAATACTAAGCGATAAATCCATGAGGGTGGATTTTAAACTTTGAAGGGGACGTTCACTCATTGTTTGTATGTCGCTCAAATAGTTATAAAAAAATTTGAGAAGATGTACTAATATGTGATATATCACTTCATAAACATACAAGTTAAAATTCAATTTATATATATTGTAACGAAAAAAATAAATTTAATTGTATTTATACGTTAACTAGCTAGCTGTAGTTTAATATATTTTTTCGTTATGAGATATATAAATTGAATTTGAATTCACATGTTTATGAAGTGATATGCCACAAGCAACAAAAAGATATTTTCTTAAGAGTTTAGAATAATTTCCCGTAAACCTGCATATCATATTCATCCTCCCCTCACGAGCAGATTGTTCCCTGCTTTCCCTATTTGAAAATTTCCCGTACTCTGTCTGCATGTTCAAAACAGTAAGGTCGCTAGAAGCTTGTGCTTGGACTCATGTGGCAATTGGCATTTCGCTGCTTTCCTTCGTGCAGGGTGGGCTGCTGGCTCAGATCGGTGGGGTGCCGGACGGTTACGCGGCGTGGGCCGGCCGGGAGCAGCTGCACAGTGGCGTCGCTGTCGCCGCCGACGAGCGGGCCAGCCGCGAGCGGTGGGTGCCGCAGATGAACGCGGAGTGGGGCGCCGGCAGCAAGCGACCCAGGGCGTCGCCTCCCTGCTTGTACTGGTGAAAAAAAAACGTGCGCTTATCAGCCACAGCCAGTACGAAATGTACGATGCTTGTGTACCAGTGTACTGAGGTAGTAGCGTTAGAAGATTAGGAATTTAGTAGTGGATGTTGATTTTGAGCTTAACGCGTGTCTTGGATGAATCCCTGACTCCTGAATGTTTGGGGAATTAATGTGAGTGGTAGTGTCCTCTTTGGGCGGCAAAGAATTATACGCCCCTTGCGAACATGTCGAACTGTACGGTCTGCCATTTAATCTGCACGTTCACCCCTCTGCATCTTCTGTACTGCAAATCAGATTTTGTGACTCTTCCATTAGGTTATGAAGTTTTCAGGATGTTGCAGCGCAAGCTGAACGTGCGGCGATCACCGTTACTGAGCAAGCATTCGTATCTGTTTAAGCGACCCGTCAACAGAAGTGCTTCACTAAGGAGCTTTTCATATTGTAGCCAAAATAAATCTAACCAAATTTTAGTAAGTTGACAATATTACTAAAATTTTGATCGGATTTCTTATGAATTTACAAAGTTTTTTTAAAAAATATATGCACATTTTTAACAACTTTAAAAAATTAGTATGGTTTGAAATGATCAATCTAAACATCCCCTAAATTTTGAGTAGATGGTAATAATCACTTCCAGTTAGCAGCAAGCTCAAGACTGAAAGCTTAAGCACTCGGCATCACGAGCGGATCGACTTTGGGCTACGCTAATCACACCCTGTTGGAAAAAGTGCATGTGAGGTCCCTCATCTTGTCATTGAATTTCAAAATGATCCCTCAACCAAAAAAACTATCATCCCTCGACTGACAAAACATGGTCACTCTGGGTCTTTAGGCGGCATTGACTTTGGTTCTGTCCTAGTCAGCGTAGGACCCACGCGGACCCCACATATCAGTGACACCTCACCTTCTTCTTCCCCTTACCACCTCTCCCCCATCATCACGGCGCGAGCAGCGGCCGGCGCGTGCGACTGTCGCCGTCTCGTCCCATCCCACTGTCGCGTCACTCTTTCCTCCTCTTCGGCTCCCTCCTCTTCCCCCTCCGGTCCACCTCTTTCTCTCTCTTTCTCTTCCCCTCCATCGTCGGGCACCATTGCCGCCCCCCTGTGTCGTCATCGTTGGCGGTAGGGATGAGCTACTTCGGTAGCTACTCCACCTACCTCGAAACCATCTTCTCCGTCGTGCTCCCGCCGCTCGACTCGATTGCCTGACTAATTTCTGCCATTGTTTTCATGCAGTCAGAGCTCGTCATCCCATCGGCGCTAACAACGTTGTTCTACGTCTCCAACATCGTCTAATTTGCCAAGGTCATCATCTTGAGACGCTGTTGTAGTCAATGGGCATCGACGGGAAGCGGACGTACTACATCCTCACCGTAGTACAAAAAACGGACCGGCCCAGCGGTTGAACCGAGAAAAACGGAACCATCACTCTCACCAGGTCAGTTTGTTTTAAGGACCGCACATGCAATGGAACCGGTGCAAACCGGATGAACCGGATGGTTTTTGAGGAAAAACGGCGGCCCTGGCTATTTTGAACCGCCGGTTCGTGAAGCAGATGGCTAGATTCTAAGGCCCACTTGGATTGTTGCGGCCCAATTATCTTTTATTTGCCTAAAATGAGGAAAAAGTGCATCACATAGGGATCAATCCCTGGTTGATGGAATAGAAGCGCATCAACCACACCACCAAGCTAAGTTGGTAACCTTGTTTACGTCGGATTATGTATGATAAATATACTTTCCGGTTCAACAATCGAATCGGTCGACCCAGCGGTCCAACCAGTGACCTAGTGAACCAGGAGCTCAAGCGGTTCGGTGCCCGGTTCGGTTTTGTCTACGATTTGTTAGTGAGTGCAGCTAACTGCTAATTTTCAGTGGATGGATGTGAGCCATGTTGATGGATTTATGGAGTTTTTTTTACATATAGAGATCGATTAGTGGTGTTGCATTTTTTTTTGCCTTAAACGTTACTTACTGTCTTTCTTCGAGTTTGCCTGCTTTTTGCCACCATATCTCCTCCATCTTTCAACCAGGAGACTCAAGACTAGAGGCAAAAGAACCGCAGTATCGACCTCTTCCACTCTCCACAGTCTGCACCTACCTTCGCCGACTCAATCACCATCGCCGGAGGAAAAATTCCCGGAACCCTAATCCAGTTGCCACTCACTTGGCTCCTAAATTCATCGCACACATCGCCAATCCTACCAAATTGAAGGTAAAAATGAATTATCCATGCAAGGTACTTCATTTCCCCTCTCCGGCCCCAATGATTCTGCTATCAGAATGCCACCGGTGCTCCCTCCTGCTGCCACCTCTGTTCGGGTGCCACCGGACCACACGGTGCGTTGTTGCCTCACAATTTCCCGTGCCCATCCACCGCCACCTCGAGCTCCGCCATAGTCCCCTCGAACTCCTAGGCTGCCGTGCCCCTGCTTGAACTCGCCGAAGCGCCGCCGCCTGCTTCTACCCCATGCACGAACGGAGGAAAGAGGGAGATGAGGGATCAGGGTTGGCCGCTGACATGTAGGGCACACGTGGGTCCAATGCTGACTCAGCCTCCACGTCGGACAAAACTATGGTCAATACCGCCTAAGGACTCAGAGTGACCTAGTTTTATAAGTTGAAGGATGTCATATATCTGTTTTTTGGGTTGAGGGACGATTTTATAATTCGACGACAAGATGAGGGACATTGATGTACTTTTTCCCACTCTGTTTGATCCATTTGAGGGGAAGAGGGGCCAAGGTTGCAAAATGAACGGAACCCAATTGCCCAAAGACTGCTCGTTATCCCATAGAACGCTCTGTTATGGGCTCAGTGGTGATGGGCCGTTCGCTGAAATATGGTGGGCTCAAAGATGATGTCTCCATTTATTTCTCTTTTGCGTGTACAACAACATACAACAACATGGTAAAGAACTGATTTTTATTTTTTTTGCGAGGAGTGAAGAACATGGTGGATATGCAAGCAGCAAACGAGGTAACTCTTTTTTTACTGTGCATCCTACAGATCTTTTTAACATCACGGAGCTCACTCCGTGGTCCAAGAAAGAGCATCAATTACATTTCCCCCATTGTTCATCGTTCATCTCATTGAAACGAAGTCATAAACAGTCCCGCCTACAGAAATGTTTCCTTTTGGACACTGTCCCGCCTACAGAAATGTCTCGGCCAAGTTTCCTCATCACCCCAGTGGACCCCACGCGTCAGCGTGCTCCAGTCCACTCGATTCAAAACTTCCCTCCATATCTGGCAACCATGCGCGTCATCCGGTGTTGGCGATGTTGCAGAGGGGAGGAACCCTTCGTGACCAATCCGGGATGGCTTTCCAAATCGTGATCGCACTGGCACAGTGCCACCAGAAAACGAGCAACTCATTGCCAATGGATGAATGGAGTAGTATGTTAATACGAGTAGTAGTACCCGCTATCTTTGGCGTTTAATTCGAGGCTAATGCTGCCGTTCGTGTCACATCAGCGACCGGATTCATCTGCTGATCCTGTCGTCTTCCTCGTACCCTCTCTGCTGCTCCTTCCTCTTCCCTTTGTCGCCTACGCGAACCTGGTGCGAGGTGCCCCGTTGAGAAAAAAATTGGGTTCGAATTTTTCTCTGGTTCGCTTGTGATTTTGTGGGGGCTAAAGAATCAATCCTTCGGGGCTCGGAGCGATGGACGTGGACCAGCTGATCCTGTTCGTCTTTGTGTGCTGTTTGTCCTCGAGGTTTGCTGGTGAGCTCTGTGATATTCAAGTCATGTTTGTTTCCCGTGCTGTTTCTTGGACATCGCCGTCGTGTTTGCCCTCCGAGTGTTGTTCTTAGGTTTGATTGATTGAACTACGGTCGGTGATTTGTTTTCTCTATGTTTTGACAGATGCGTATGATCCGGTAGATCCGAATGGGAACATCATAATCAACTGGGATTTTCAGAGCATCGAGAACGTCTACACGGTGCGCATGCCTGCTAGTGAGTTTAGTACTGCCGTTAATTTTTCACTGTTTGGGATCATCCCAGTAGTAGATATGCAGTCGAATAAAAGATTCAGAATTTCAGACGTACCATCGTTGCAACTATCCTTTTTATCTCGATTCTAACTTTTCCCCATTATTTCCTCCGGTGAAACTTATCATTAGTACAGCCGAAATACGATATTCTGACAAAAAAAATTTGACGTTCGCAACCGCCAACACCACGAATCAATCGATATATCCTGTGCTTATGCAGGTCATGGTGAGCGTCCACAATCACCAGCTGTACCGCCACATCGAGCAGCCCGGGTGGCGGCTGAGCTGGAGGTGGGCTGGCAACGAGATCATCTGGGGCATGACGGGCGCGGAGGCGACGGAGCAGGGCGACTGCCACCGGATCCGTGGCGCCACCCGGCCGCATTGCTGCGAGAAGCAACCGGTCATCGTGGACCTGCCCCCCGGCACGCCGTACAACAACCAGGTCTCCAGCTGCTGCCGGGGCGGCGTGCTGTCGTCGCTCACGCAGAACAACCGGACGTCCACCGCGGCGTTCCAGATGGTGGTCGGCGGCTTCAGGCGCGCCACGTACCACGACGGCGACAGGGGCCCCGCGCTGCCGTCACGCTTCGGCGTCGGAGTGCCCGGGTACTCCTGCAGCAACGCCACCAAGGTGAACGCGACCAGGTCACCGATCGGCAGGCACCGGCACGTCCAGTCTCTGCGTAAGGCTTCTCCCCTTTCTTTCTTATCGCGGCGCGTGCGTTGAGCGGGAGTTCTGAGCGATTCTTGCTGCCGCGCGCGCGGGCGCCGTGTGCAGTGACATGGCAGGTCACCTGCACGTACTCGCAGTTCATGGAGGCCGCGTCGCCGACGTGCTGCGTCTCCCTCTCGTCGTTCTACAACAGCACGATCGTGCCGTGTCCGCGTTGCAGCTGCGGCTGCCCACGATCCCCCACGGCGCCGCAATGCATCAGGCAAAACCCCCCGCGCACCCTCGTTTCCCACACCGCTTAAATCCTGTGCTATATATCCCACTCACTCATCTGCATTTTTGGTTGGTTTAATTTTCCAGCGAGGGCGAGAAGCCGGAGCTGCCGGCCGGCGACGGTGAGGCGGTCGCGCCGGTCTTCCGGTGCACCGACCACATGTGCCCAGTCCGGGTGCACTGGCACGTGAAGATCAGCTACCGTGAGTACTGGAGGGTGAAGGTGACGATCACCAACTACAACCAGGTCAAGAACTACAGCGACTGGAACCTGGTGGTGCAGCACCCGAACCTCCGGAGCCTGACGCAGCTGTTCAGCTTCAACTACCAGCCTCTCATCGAGTACGGCACCCTGAGTAGGTATCACTCACTTTAGCATGATCTCCGTTCGAATTGGATGAACAGAGTGAACCACAGAAGTTGTTGTTTGATTTTGCAGACGACACGGGGATGTTCTGGGGGATCCAGTACTACAACGAGATGATGCTGCAGGACGGTAATGTGCAGACGGAGATGATACTGAAGAAGGACAAGAGCGACTTCACCTTCTCCGGTGGATGGGCGTTCCCGAGGAGGGTGTACTTCGACGGCCACGAGTGCGTCATGCCACCGCCGGATCAGTACCCCTTGCTGCCCAACGGAGGCCCGGACTCGCGCGTCTCGGCGGCGCAATTGATCGCCAGCTCGTGCTTGTTGTTGCCATTCATTTTCCTTATCATGTAAAATATTATTTCGCCATCGTAATTGTTCGAGTAGGAAAGAGAAATACAGGTGCAATCGTGCAAACTTGCAGAGCCTAAACTTTGTGTAAAATTACTAAGGGCTGGGGTCTAAAGGACTGGGCTGAATTCTATGTATGTGTGTATATACCGTTTTGGGAGGAATTCCGTAAAGACTTTCCCTTCCCAGGCCTCGTTTAGATGAAGCCCGGTAAATAACAATTTGTATTTTTTTTGAACTCCCTATCTATTTGTCGACAAATTCTTGGGCCAAAATCACCCAGATTTTTTTTTGCCTTTGGATTAGCATCCAAAGGACAGGGAAAAAAGGTCATAAACATATTTTTTCTGTCCGGACAAAATCAAAAGACAACATGGGCTGTAAATCAAGCCCACATAGAAAATACAAAAAAAAAATTTAAATCCCATGATTCAAAGTGAGCAGCCCAAAAACACAGGACAACTTTATAACAGCCCAAAAATAACAAAAAAAAACCATTACAAGGGGACTTGCAAACCAAAAAGGTCACAAAAAGACAAAAAAAAGGCAGAGATCACACAGATCACGCTACTTCACACAAAAGGAAATCCACAGATCAATCAGGAGAAATCGAGCACGCCATGGACAGCTACGAGAAAGAGAAAAAGAAAAAGAAGCAGATTCTAACCAAGAACATGGAGGTCAAGAAGATCAAATCAACAACAAATAATCTCCCAGGTAAGTTCCACTTTACCTTTTTGTTGTTGATTTCACCGGATATGCCATACAGTATCAAAATCAAACAAAAACAACTCAGATTTGAAAACTCTTAGGGAAATTGCATGAAATTTTGGATTCCTTTACATCAAGCAGTACTGAGTAGGGAAACATGACTTTTGATTCAAAAAGATCCTTCTAATAAGCTATAAGTTTCATATTGAAATAAGGGGAAACATAGGGCACCAGAAGAACATACATCATACAGTGCACATATCTCTAACTTTTGCATCCCAAAACATATTCTGTTGATCACAACTAGTATGTCCTTCAATGAACATGATCCCTGTACCGCCAAAATGAGGAGCAAAAAGAACAAATTTTACTACACTTCCAGCAACAAAAGAACCCAAGATTTATGAATGCTCAGAGGATAAGAATAATTTCTCTGCTAACAAAACTTACCTTCACCCACGTTGACATCAATTTCCTGTACAACAGTTCAAAAAAAACAAATGATTGATTTCCTAGATAGCAAGCACAGCAGAAGACAATTCAAAAAAGGAACACAAAACAAAATATAAGGAACAAATATTTCATTTACTGACCATTGCTGTCATCCCACAATCCAAGCAGCTCCAAGGCCCTTGCTCCCAGAATCAACACATGCAAGAGCAACAAAAGCCAAAACAAAGTTGCTAAAAAGTACACATATAACCCAGTCAATATCACACAGAGAACAATAGACCAAAAAAATGAAAATGTCATGTGGACACATCTAAAAATTATAGATAAGAATATCTTGCACATCTGAAATTAGAGACAAAAATTCCTCAACAGTTGCTATCTCAGATAACTTGTGAGATAACGGGCACCACACTAAACCTAAAAATTCCATGCTAAGCAATGGAAGTAAACTAGAGACAGTATGTCAAGCTTCTATCAAGGAAGAAGCCTCAGGTCAATCTATATTCTACCAAGAGAAATAGAGATAACAGAAAAAAAAACAGTACAAAACTAGGCCTACATTACTAACTAGCAAAAAAAAAATATATCAGGCACATATCTAAGAAAATAAAGATGCCTAGGGTTCCCCAAACTACAAGTCTCTGATAAAACCAATATCAATAATTAACAATCTAACTACCAATAGTCAGTTACAGTGCGAAATAATAAAAATTACAACTGTAACTAAGGTATATTTCCACTGTAAGTGGTGTGAGTTGCACTGTAAGTGTGTTTTAGGACTGCATGAAACCTAAAATATTGACTTCATCTGTTAAATCAAAGATTCAAAACTGAAAATACAATTTGAAAACTAAACTAAATCCCCAGATGAAAGAAGTGGGCATCAAATACCATAACTAAATCAAAAAAGATACAAGGTTTAAGATCAGCCATTCAAATGCCTCAAGAGATATATTTTTTGTGGGTAATTTCCTAATAGAAAACATATATTGAAGCTGACATCCACATAAATGCAACCAATAAAAAAACATGGAGCTATACATCCATAAATTTTTCTGCAAGAAAAAGTTTGACGATCATAGAATTTACCTGGCTAGTTCTCCTTTTCTGTTTTAATGAAAGGAATAAGTAGACACATAAGAGTTATGTCCCGGGCAGCACTTGTTAAGCAAAAACAAAGCAGAATCTATGCAAGACAAAGAAAGAAAGTTAATGTTGGTTGCATACATTAACAGACAACATAAATGAAGCGGCCTCACACTTGCAATGGCACAAGAAGGCAAGCTAATTTCAGTAAAAACATCTAATTAATTCAAAAATGGATGATAACCCTACACTGCATTGACTGGAAAAAAAATCTACAACATAAGGGGAAGCAATACAAACTCACTATTGTTTTTATGAAACTAAAAGTACACATATTCTAACTTATGCATGCACAACTGACAAAAAAGAGTCCCTAGGGTTCCCAAACTACAAGTGTCCTAGTTTTCACACAAATCAGTAATATACCCAAGGTCAATCAATTACAAAATCTAACTACCAACAGTCAGTTACAGTGAGAGATAACAGAAATTACAACTGTAACTTAGGTATATTTCCACTGTAACTGGACTGTAAATGGTGACGAGTTGTACTGTAAGTATGTTTTAAGTTAGAATTACTGTAATTTCAGACTGCATGAAATCCAAAAATATTTAAGTTAGGTAGTCAGATTACCTAGAACATATAAAACTAACATGCTTTTTAAATATTTCTATTACATGCACCAACCATACTTGATTTAAATTACATGCAGGGGCTGATAGAACAAAGTCTCAAGTAACAGGAAATACAACTGAAGAATTAAGAAGAAAGAAGACAGTTGAAGGTTAGAAAATCATGCTTACCTATTATTGTGCATCATATCTGATCTTCATAGAAAATTTCATCTAGCACAAATTTATGTATGTAAAAAATTAGTCATGAAGCATGACAAAAATTACAGTGATAATTAACCAAAAAATTAGAACTGTATATTCAGTTACAGTGAGAAATAACAAAAATTACAACTGTAACTGCAGTGCATATGGACTGTAACTGGACTATGACTGGAATCATGCATAACTTTGTCCAAAAATCCAATACTCATGCAACAACATCAACATTATTCCCTACTATAACATGATCTAAATCATATTATAAATTACCTAAATGATGGCCTATCTTCAACCAGAAAATCATGTCTACTATCAATGAAATTGAGAACTGAAATACTATTTCAAAACTTAACAAAATTACATAAGATTAGAACAGTCAGTTATAATTGCAAATGTAACTGAGGTATAGTTCCACTGTAACTTCACTGAGTTGTACTGTAATTATGTTTTAAGTTAGAATTATTGTAATTACATTTTGTAATGCTTTTATTTACATTTTGCAGGAACAATCTCAGCTGTAGAATCAACTAAGGACATCAAGTTGGACACCAAGAAAAAAGAACCACTACAGATGAAAAGTACATAAACAACTATAAATAGATACTATATTGTTCCCAATTAACTCAAAATAGAAATCAAACTATTTTGACCTATTGAACAAATTATATTAATGAACCTTTCATACTTACCAAACATAACACTGTAGTTTCTCATGAAAACTTCAATTTTCTCCAGTTGCAGGTCATGAAGAAGTACAAGATGAAAAAAGAAGAAGCCAAGAATCAGATAAGAGCAATATTATGGCAAAACATATTAAAGAAACCAAAAGTCAGACCACTGAAGTTGTTCCAGGTCAGAATGGCATTGTTATTACTATATTCATGCAAATCTTTCAAGATACTATTGAAACATTGTAATTATAGTGGACTAGCATTCTAAACTTTGTATACAACTAAAGTTGAACTATAACAGACCTAATTTTGACTACATCTGAGTGATAAAAACTGCAAAGAATCTAATGACATAATTACAAAATTATGTCACTAAACTATATGCAGATTTTCCTATTCAAACGAAATCAAAATTAAGTACTTATATAAACACAAAACATGCACAAACACATACTTGTATTGAATTTCTATTTCAGTACTAATGCAAGAACATCAGTATTAGTTCCTATTGTAGCTTCTATCAGAAATTCAGTACTCATGCAATAATATCAGCATTACTTCGTATTGTAACATGTTCTAAAAATATTAATATAACCTAACACATGCAGGGGCTGATAGAACAAAGGCTGAAGTAACAAGGAATTCACAATCAGAGAGATGTGGAAGTGACAGAATTGACTCTGAAGAATTAAGAAGAAACAATACAGTTGAAGGTTAGAAAAAACATGCTTACCTATTATTATGCACCATATCTGATCTTTGTTGAAAATTTCATCTAGTACAAATTATATAAGGCAAAAATTAGAGGTGAAGCATGATAAATAAAAATAATCTAACTACCTTAATTCAGTTACAGTTAGAAATAACAAAAGTTACAGCTGTAACTACAGTGCATATGGACTGTAACTGGAATCATGCTTAACTTTCTCCTAAAATTCAATAGCATCAGCATTATTCCATATTGTAACATGTTATAAAATGACCCAAAACATGCAGGATGTCATAGATTGCAGGCTCAAGTTACAGGGAATACACAATCAAAGACATGTGTAAGTGACATAATCGACTCCAAAGAATTAAGAAGCAAGAAGACAATTCAAGGTCAGAAAATCATGCTTACCTGTCATTGGCACCATATATGATATTTGTAGAAATTTTCATCTAGCACAAATTTATATACATTAAAAATTAGAGGTGAAGCATGATAAATAAAAATAATCTAACTACCTGCATTCAGTTACAGTGAGAAATAATAAAAGTTACAACTGTAACTACAGTGTATATGGACTGTAACTGGACTATAAGGGGAATACATTAAGCAAAATCAACATCATATGAAGAATTAGAGGCTAAGGATAATGCAGTAGTATGTGAAAGCAAAACTAATAGAGTGGGACTTATTCAGATTCAAAAATATAAATCAAGCAGTATTTAGCCTCAAAAATGGTGTCAAAACAATAAAAAAAGCCTTTCATTTTGTCAACATCATATGATTTTTTTTTGCAAAACTCAAATTTTGACTAATGATGCTTTCATTTTCAGTTCTAGGATCTCATTACCTCCAGGATTTTGGAAAAAGGCAAAAAATCAGCAACAATTGGATCAGAGATTGGCAAAAATAAAGCACAAATACTTTATGATCAATACACATTTCTTAACGAAAATGAAAGACTGGTAAGTACAATCATGTTTTCCAAAAATGAAGAATATATTTATTTCTTTGTCGAATAAATGTAAACAGGTGAAGGGGGGACAAATGAGCTATACTAACCTCATGCAACACATAATTCTAAGTCCACGTGTCAGCTTGCAAGCAAATGAAGTATCGGAGGTGTACAACTTGGGAATTTTCAAAAAGTAAATAACAATTTCTGCAAGCATCGGAGGTGTACAACTTGGGAATTTTCAAAAAGTTTCAAGATGAATTAATGGAGACATTAAATCTTGAAATGTCAGCTATACAACATGGAAAGACATACAAGGTATATGCAGCTGCAAATCTAATATACTGCTGGTTCACAAACCAGACAGAAAAATGTTTTCACATTTACTTTTACTATGCAGATTATATTGCTATATATAGACTATGCACTGTTCAGCATTCAGTACAGTTAAAGATTTGTCTCATTTCATGCTCTCCCCAAAGAAGAAACACAAAACAACTCTAATAAAACATGCACTAAATCAGAAATGTCAATTAAGAACCATACAGTCCATCCAAAGTCAGAAGCTAGCTCTGCCTCATTTCATTGGCAGAGAAGAAAGTACACAACATGTACCCAAGAAAAGGGGGTACGCACTGAAAAAGCATCCAGATTTTTAACTTGAAAGAACATCAAATTCAGCAAAAAAAAAAAATGAAGCCAAGACTCCCCACTCTAGCCCAGAGACAAAATTCAAAGCACCAGCCTTAAATTCCTGAAAGCATCATACAAGTTCTACTATCCTTGTTCAAGCAAAACAAATTCTGAACCAAAGAACAACATATACACAGAAAGAGCAACAAACCAAGAATCAAGGCAAAACGCATGCAGGGGATTGGATTTCATTTAACCAAACAACTCAGCATACTGGGAAATCAAGCCGCACATATCTGAAAAGAAGCGATTCATAAGATGAAGAAGGCAACACAAAACATACTTGGGGATGAGTTAACATGCATATGTGAAACGAAATTCTTCATATGCATAAAAATTCAGATATACGCAGGGAGTTGACAGATCAATCATCTCTGAAATGAAAATGCTTCACATGCAGAAAAATTCAAACACATGCAAGGCGTTTAACAGATCAGTCAACTAAATATCTGAAAATGAATGCAACATTCAGATAAAGTTGCAGCGATGCTTCCCCTACTGTATTCAAATGACACATATCAGCAATATAATGTTGTCATAATTAATTCCCCCTACCAATCCTACTGGGGTGGAGCTAGGAAATCCCCATCTACCAGCCACAAATCCAAGATCAGTGACAAGCCAAAAAAAAAATCACCGATTCGCTGTGCGCTAACCCCACATCACACAAAGCACAAAATATACACTGATCTGCTGCAAGTGATTTGCAGATTTGTGCATAGTAGGAGTTCTACTCCAGCAGAAACAAAACACAGACAACTACATGATACTAACATACAAAAAGAACACAATGAGAGGCCAGAAAATACTGGATTTTATAGTGGCTTGTTGCTAACTAATTTGGATCAGCACCACTGAACAATATTGGGATGCATTCATAATTGAAAAGAAAAATAAGGCACTGAGCAAACCTGAAAAAGTATTGATACAGTTATTATATGCTCATAATAAGATCAGGAACACACAGGGAAATTGGCAAGATGCCATGCCAGATTTACTTGGCATCATTAAGAAATATGAAACACACATGGTATATACCATTAACCATGTAGGTGCATCATTCAAAACTATGGAAACAGAGCTAAGCTTATGTGTGAAAAAAGCACCCCTTGGAAAATAACCTCTTCTCCTAATCAGAACCATAGATGTCTGCCAAAAAAACATAGCTAAGCTTATGCGTTGAATGTGGCATCTTCTTCCTACTTTTCCAAGCATAGACACATAAAAAAGCTGTACAGAGAAGCAAATCAATGATTACACAAATTTATAACTGAAGTTGCACAGATTTGAAAATGCAACTACAACAACCAGGGAGTGCAATACGTCGCCGAATGTATATGCAGTTTACACAAAACAAATGCAAGCCCAGTCCAGTCCTGAAAAATATGGTGTGCTAGTACGAAGCATCATTTGCTATCCGTCGGTACTCAGGCATGTGCTGGGTGAAAGTGAACCAAGAAACACAGAGAAACATTTCAGAAAGCAGAGTTGTCTCTCTTCGCCTCCCATGCAAAATTTTGAACAAGCAAATAATCTATAGAAATATAGCAGTGTCACTGTCTTCAGTCAGGGAGTTCATTTCGTGATCTCTGAGCCAAATAAGATCGCTGAAACCTTTCAAAACATCTCTCTCTCTCTCTCTCTCTCTCTCTCTCTCTCTCTCTCTCTCTCTCTCTCTCTCATTTGACAAGTACACAGTTCATCACTAAATCTGCTGCTTGCATATCACATATACAGAAGGAGTTGTGCATGTTAAGAACAGAAGGAAATAACAAAATCCCCTGTACAGGACAGAACAGAACAGAGGGGAAAAATCCTAGCAAACCTGTAAATCTGCTAAAAGGATGTCCAATTTACTCCGAAAAATGCAAATCAAACACAAAAAAAATCCCTATCTACCAGCCACAAATCCGAGCTCAGTGACAAGGCAAAAAAAAAAAAATCCAGCCATCGTTTCCACCGATGCCTAGTTCGTTGGTTACGATTTAGTCTAATCCCAAATCACACAAAGCAGAAAATTGATATGCTGATAATCTCATCCATGTACTCTATCTGGGCAATCCCTCTCAATCTTTCATCTCATGAACACAGAAGGAAAAGGTACTGTGAAAGTTCACCTGCAAAAAAAACAGAAATAACCTAGAAAATTTCAAATAGTGTGTCGCTTTACCTATAAATAAACAGATCAGAGCACTGCTCACCTAGAACTTAACAAAATAAAAAAGCAACAGCTAGGCAGTTCCCTAATAATTATTTGAACATATAAATCTCATCGGCATGACATAGAAATCAACAGATCAGGGCACTAATCACCTAGAACATATAAATCTGATCAACAATACATAGAAATCACGGATCCACTGAAACTAAAACGAAAACGAAATCGACTCAGGACCAAGCTTCGAAACCTTGACCGATTCAAATCGAGAAAACTAACCAAAAAACCGTTGAAAAAATTTCACCAGTGGGAACTACAAACGAAGATTGGACTCACCGGTTGAATCCAGGGGGAGAAAATCGATCCAAACGATGGATCTCTCTCCCTCTCGCTGGAGAGAATGAGAGAGAGAACAAGAAAGCGAGAGTGAACGAAAGAGAGAGCGCGCGCGGAGACAACGAGGAGAAAGCGATAAGTAAGAAAAAAAAAACGGCTACGGACATGGCGTGGAAATCGAAATTTAACAGCGCCACGAGACCGAGGAGACCAGGTTTTGACTCCCACGCGTCCTGATCCAAACCAAACCGTGCACGCATCTTAAAGTATATCGGACTACCAAAAAAAACGACAAATATCGGGAGAAGAAATTTAATGACAAATATCTAGCAAAATCGTTTTTTTTTCTTTCCCTATTCTATCAATATATTCCAGCACTGTCTAATACTAGCGTCTTCTCCGACGACGAAAAAAGGTGGTAGCACCACCAGATAGAGGGTTGGCCGGCGCTACGGTGGGCTGGTGGTGGCCATGATGGGGTGGAGATGGCGCCACCTTGGCCATGAGATAAAAGGGGACGGACGGTGTGGGACTGTGGGTGGCAAGAGAAGCTTGTTGTTGGCTGAAATTCAACCCAAAACTACTGAAATTGCACCTTAGTACCTTACATTTACCTTACTTAAAAGGTGGTTTCTTGACGAAACGTAAATTACAGGTAGCGCATTTTTCTTATATAATGCAGGCAGTACATTTTTGCTGCTTTATACTAGCAACTGCAAATCTTGTTCTTATTCACTAAGCGATATAAGTCTATATTTATTCTCATCAGTAGTCTCTTGGGCTAAATGCACTCACTTTGAACTCCACAAAAGCGATCACCAATTCCTTCCCACCAAATTTTCACTTCTTTAGACCGAGGAAGGTTAAGACGAATCCGACGTAATTGTAACGGTAGAGCTGTCGCATCATGGAGATCTTGCTGTCATCCCACGGCGGGTACCTGGCCGTCAGCTCGATAAGGTATCCTCTCGTCAGAACCGCCTTCTTGTGGCTGAACATCTCGAAGGAGTACTTGCCGTGGTACTGCCCGAATCCGCTCTCGCCGACGCCGCCGAACGGCAGCGAATCGATCCCGTACTGCAGAGGATTGCCACAAGAAAAGATGACATCAAATAACTCTGTAGTACGTACTGGATCTGCAATTCCTATGTTCTTGTTTGGATGGGCTCAGTTTGGCCCATATAAACTGATGGGCCGAGATTGAAGCCCATCAAGCAAGGCCTGGGTGGGGTAAGGCGTGTGTGCATACTTGTACAACTGCGTCGTTGAACGTAACGCTCCCCGACGACGTCTCCTCGACGATTCGGCGCCTCAGTGCGGCGTTTTTGGTGAACGCGTAGACGGCGAGCGGCCTCGGCCGCGCTCTCACGAAGGCGATGCTGTCCTCTATCTTCTTCACCTGTGAGAAAGGTAGCCGTTTCATTTGATCTGTCTAGTGGTACTCCGCTCTGCATAGAGGAGGATGTTAAGAACTTTTTAATTTACCGTGATGATGGGCAGGAGAGGGCCGAAAATCTCCTCTGTCATGATCGCGGAGTCGAGTGGGGGATTCAGCAGAATCGTGGGCTCGATGCACCTGAAATTTTTTCGTGAGTTGGTCAACTTTGGGTTGTCTTACCGACAGATTGATCAACGACACGCAGTTTTGTTCAGAATTTACAGGTTCTTGGCGTCCAATGTGCCCCCGTGGAGGACGGACGCCGCGACCGATTTGTCCTTGAGAAGGTCACTCAGCCGCTGGAAGTGCCTCGCGTTGACGATCCGCGCCATGTGGTCCGAGTCGGCGAAGAACTTCTTCAGCGTCGACTTGAGCGCCTTGATCTTCGGACGAGACCGACACGTGCACGCCGCGAGACAGACACACAAACGTCAGGCACAAATGCGACTCGGGTAGCAAAGCAGAGGAGGCGTGACGTGAGGTGAAAACGCACCAGGACGGGCACGAAGCGCTCCTCGACGAGGACGTAGTCGATGGCCAGGCAGGCCTGGCCGGCGCAGGACGACCACTTGCCCCCGACGACGCGGTTCACCGCGGTCTGCAGGTCCCGCGCGCTGCCGCCGATCGTGTCGAAGATGCAGGGGCACTTCCCGCCGAGCTCAAGCGCCACGGGCGTCAGGTGCTTCGCGGCCGCGGCCATCACGACGCGCGCGATGCGCGGGCTCCCTGCAATGCCGCGCGCGACAGAAACCCAACACATATCAACGGCGTTTCAGCCGGGGGACCCAAAAGCTACCAGTGTGTCCTCCATGGACCATGGTTATATTACCGGTGAAAAGGACCTTGTCCCATCTGTGTTCCATGAGCTGCTCGCCAACCTCCGGCCCGCCCTGGATGACCTTCACGGCCGTGGCGTCCATGTATTTGCCGACGTTGTCGCCGAGGAACTTAGCGGTGGCCGGCGCCAGCTCCGATGGCTTCAGCGCGACCGCATTGCCGGCCGCCAATGCTCCAACGAGAGGCTCCAGAGAGAGGCCTGCATGCATAGAGCACACAAAGTCGTTGCCTGATTAGTTGATACAGTACCCAAAAGTAGCCAGTCAGTGTACTACCCTTGTCCCTCATGGCCTCGTGGGCACCCACCCTTGCGTCTCTACTCTCTGGATTATTACATGCATGCATGTGCAAAGGCTGTGGATTGTGGTAGCCAGAGTGACATCCACAGGCGCAGACCGCGCGCAGATGAACGGTCAGTCATTTACGTTTTTCACAATTTCACTGCCTGTGAAAATTCTGACTGCTGTATCACATGCTAGCTAGTACTATCACCGTCCCAAAATAAGTGCAGCTATAGATATTCGTGCCCAACGTTTAACCATCTGTCTTATTTGAAAAATTTGTGAAAAATTTAAAAATATTTAGTCACACATAAAGTATTATTCATGTTTTATCATCTAATAGCAATAAAAATACTAATCATAAAAAAAATTTAAATAAGACGAACGGTCAAACGTTAAACGTGAATAATAAAAAACTGCACTTATTTTAAGACGGAGGGAGTACGTCGCTTGGTTTATGCTGAGGCGAGCATAGCAGGGGTACACATGCTAATACGCTGTTTTTGCAAAAAAGAAAAAAAAAGTAGAAAGTCCAAATTACCCTTTTGAGCACACAGTGAAATAAGTATGTTGCTATAGTAAAAAAAACAGTGATTTGCAGTTTTTACTGTAGAAAGTCACGGTACTGTTAACCTCTGACTTTAACACCTAAAGTCAGGATCTCAATCCGTACGAATTACCTCTCTCAATTAAAAAAACAAACATATTTTTTCACCCTCAACTTGTTACACTGAACGAAGGCCAACTCCAAAGCAGTTTCAGTCCTACGTGGCACACACATGGAAGTCCAATCAGCATAAAAAATATATAAACAAATATGGGGCCCACTTGTCAGTTATGCTTCTCTTGGTCAGTACATGTGGTCCCTATCTTTTTAATGTATTTTTATGATGACTGGACTGCCACATGTGTCATGTAGGACCTAAACCACTTTGGAGTCTATTCGAGGGATAATTCGTCTGGTATTAAAAATTGAGGACGATGAAGAATGTCTAGTTTTTTAATTGAGGGAGGTAATTCGTAGTACTACAATTTTTTTTTTGGGGGGAGGGAGGGGTATTCGGATTTTTTCAGAAAGAAACATGCTGAACATTGGGTTTGACGACTGAAGCAATATTCTGAGACAACGCCCCAAGTATAAACTGATTGCCACCCAAAAGAAAAGTACTTTAGTTCCAACTATCAAGCGTCAAACTAGCTACCAAAAGAAACAGTGGTAGCTCTGTGTATGTTGAGTTTTTCTGGGACGGAGAGATATATTCGTCTGAAGTACTACTACGAATAATCAAAGTTTGCATGTTAGCAACTGGCCCTACTAGCAACAGGATACCATAGCACAGCTATTCGCTGTTACTTAAACTCAAAAGCTGTATTGAATCCGACAATTCAAGGACTATCGTAAGCTAATCATGTGCACTGAGCTATGGTACTAGTACACCCTTTGAGCTGAAGGAGTGTTGGCCAGCCAGACAATCGGTAGGACGTAAATGAGTGTTGCTATACGTCCGATTTCCTCGTCCGACCCCCATCCAATCCAACCTTATCTACCAATCGTTTCGCTCCACGCAGACCAACTTCTCTCTATGTGGGCCTCTATGTGGGCCAGAGCAGTTACGGAGTAGCAGCTAAGTGCTGGTCGGACATACCAGTCATATGTATAGCGATTTTCGACGTTAAATACCCTCACACAAACACAATAAATCGAATAGAGCCTTCTAATACTCCGTATATACGTTTGCTATATATATATTGCTATTCTTCTATACTCTTGTACTGCTAGCAGCATGCATCGCCGCATGGCAGGCAGCCATAGCTATATTTGTCCCGACAAAGTATAGGTGAAAATTTAATGGACCGATTCATCAATGCGAGAGTAGCACCGTTTTCCTGACAATGCTTCACATGGGCAGCCGCACTCTCTGCTAATGCTCTTGCTTGAAGAAGGGTAAACGAAGGAAAAAAAATCGCTGTGACCTGTGAGAGATTGATGATGGTTTGCTTACCCAACGGGACATTCCAGCAAGAGAAGACGAGGATGACCCCGAGCGGCTGCGGCTCCAGCTGCGCCCTTGCCGGGAACGCGATTAGCGGCACCCAGACCTGCAACCAGCGAGGCGTCAGAACTCAGAACCAGGAGAAGCAAACCATTCATGTAAAATAATCGAACAGTGCACACTAAAGCGTGGTCAGATCAGGCTTGCCTTCTCCGGCGCCATCCATTTCCCGACCTCACGCAGCGCGGCGTTCGCCGACTTGACAAGCACGCCGATCTAAAATCACACAACCATTCGCATATATACAAGTTAAACGGAATCATATCAGCAGATCGATCAGTTGGCAGTTTGGCACACGGGAAATGCCAAATGCATATTCATCGCCAACTAATCAATTAACCTCGTCTCTGTAGGCCTCGGCTTGGTGCTTGCCGAGGTCCTCGCGGAGCGCCCGGAACGCGGCGGCCTCCTCCTCCGCCAAGAGCCGGAGGAGCCCCCGGAGCTGCGACTGCCTCCACTCCAGGCTCCGCGTCCTGCCGCTCTCGTACGCCGCCCTCAGCTCGGCCACCGTCCCGCTCACGGTCTCGCCGGGCCCAAGCGCGGGCGGCGGCTGCTCGCCCCCGACCTCCTCGACGCTAGGCGCCACCCTTCCCATCCTCCTTTCCTCACTCTGCTTCACCAACCTCACTGACTCACTCCAGTGTATTGAAACTTTGCAAGCAGAAAGTTGAAGAAAGCCTCGGGCCGGCGAGGCCAATTTATGGCAACTGACGTGCGCTTGAGCCTATGGCCTACGCTACGCATGAATGCATGATACGAATTAAATGCTGGCACCAGGGCGGTTCAGTAGAATTGACGTCCATTATTGTTGTAAACTGGTGCAAAGGTGCATCATTGGTACTACTGCCGGTTGCTAGGACCGAAAAAGTGAGCACATGCCATGCGCCCATGCCACGGAGAAAACTTGAGGATTTTGCCAGGGCCAGGGCGATCCATCGCCGTCCGGGTGAGTACGAGGGCGTGTGCTCGTAGCATGGTTGTGAATTATATTCTAATAATCTAACCTATAATTCACCAACTACCTCTTACATCCTTCATACTTTATTCATCAAATCTAACGGATGAAAATCATCGAATCCAACCGCTCCTGTTGCCCCACGTCTCCCCCGCCTCCCCTTCTCACACCCCATCACTCCTGAAATCACGGCGCATCCACCCTCCTCTCTTTCTCTCTAGCTCTTCTCTCCTCTCTCTCTCTCGCACTCACCCGACGTCGCCCCACCCGCGCGTCACCGATTCCCCATCCACGATTTCTCTCCTCTCCCGCGCCGCCCCTCCGTCGTCGTCGCGTGAAGTCCTCGCCGATCCCCCGCCTCCGTCGTGCCGATCCAAGTCGCGGCATCGTCAAACCCCTGTTCCCAGGTCGCCGTCACTGATCCCGCATCTCCTCTGCCCCGTTCTTGCCGATCCCCCGCCTCCGTCGCGCCGTCACGTCGCCGATTCCCTCTCCTCGTCGGGAGCGCCGCCGGGTTCAGTCGACGCTGATCCCCAATTTGTTGTCGCCGCCTCCTTCTCCCCTGATTGAAGTGTTGTCAAGTTTCTCCGAGGTGTTTGTTTTTCTGATGGTTAAAGTGTAGTACAAACTGTGCAAATAAAATCAATGTTTTCATCCCGTTCATTTGGTATCCATGACTAAAATTTTCATCCCGTTCATTTGGTATCCATGACTAAAAATTATTAGGACTTGATCTAGCCTGAGATAGCAACGATCGATTCATTTTTTTTCTTTTCAAGTTGTGCTAATGTATGTATGTTCAGAATTACATGCCATTTGGGTTCACATGTCATTAGAGTAGCTGGACTTTCATTCATTTATAGTTACAATAATTCCTGTTATCAATTCTCCAGTGGTATATTTGCTGAAAATATATGAAACTTATGAAACTTGACACAAATCTCACATCTTAATAGATCAAAATATATGTAATACTACTCAAATAAACTTTTCCTGAAGGTTTTCTATTGTGCTATATGTATTATATTTTCAGATATTCACAACCTATTTTATACTGTTGATTACTGATAATATGGGAAGCATTGGTAAGATGTACAGGAATGATGATTATAGATATATGGTACAGCAAATTTGTCTATCACCAATACCATGCAATTTAATGATTTTGTGCAGTCCTTGATTAATGACATCTTGAAGTATATATACAGTTAGGACAATGTCAGATTAAAATCTAAATCCATGCTTACAGTTACTTCACATCTGAAGTAAGATAAATTATCCTAGGAATTAAATCCAAGATTTTATTGGTATTTTGGTTCTTAGGATTAGGATTTTTGCATGAAAAGAGTACTACTAGATTGCAGCTAGGTCAAGGCTCTCCCTGAAACAGCCTTTTACATGGACACTGCATAGTAAGGTCCAGTGAGTTTTATCATTTCAGACGTGTGCAACTCTCTGTTCTTTACTCCTTGCCCAAATAAATTGCTCTATATAAGATATCCAGTTATAAGCTCTAGAATTTTGAATTTGATTTTTTTTTGCTCATTTTTGCCTACTGCACGTGGAATGGATATCCTGCTTAATGAATACTATCATGCTGCAGGATATCCTGCTTAATGAATACTATCATGCTGCACTTTTCCTTTTTGTTTTGGTGAATTTAGTACTATGCAGTTGGCCTTGATCAATTCGTGCTACTTTTGTTTGCAGTTAGTGAAACTGAGTTTGGTTCTTTCTATTCTATTCAGATACATTGTTTCATGCATGATCAATGACTCAAATCTCAATGAAGATAGGCATATTGCTATTCCAGGTTGGTTATCTGAATGTGCGCAGGTTTGCAATTTGCATATCATTGGATGTATATGGTTGATAACTTGATATGGGAGTAATTGGGAAATCTGTGATAAGGTATGAACCTTCCCTTTTGAAGCATTTCTACAGCACCATTGAAGTACCACATAGTTTTTTTGGCCATATTTATTTATAACCATGCAAGGAATAATAACTCTTCCTGATTAGGGCTAATTTTTTTTTACAAAATCTATGATTAACAGAATTGTTCTAATTTGAAACAGAGCCCTCTGGTTTAGAGCTTGATCAGTGAGTTAAAAAAATGGTAGAATATGTGAGTACCGAACATGTTATAATTTGAAGCGCACTCCTCTGATTGAAAACTTTTGACCAGTTAGGTTTGAACTTTGAATTATGTCTCATCTTTATGCATATACTTTCTTTCATTTCAGGTGAGGGTCATTTTATTTAGAGATTGATTTGAAAAAATTGTAGTAATAACTCTTTCTAATTAGGGCTAAATTTTGTATAAAATATTTGAGTAGAAGAATTGTTCTGACCTAAAACGGAGTCCTAACATGATATCAGTGAGAGTTACAAAATGGTTGTAATATCTGTGAGTACGAGGATCGTTCTAATTTGGAACTCAACTCCTCTGATGACAACTTTAATCAGGCAGTGTGAATTATGCATTTCTTGTTCTCATGAACAATATTTGTTTGAAAAGTGAAAGATCAGAGGTATGTTTTACCACGGTGGATGAACAGAAAGCCCGGTGAGGATGACAAACATGGAGTGAAGAGGGTATGATGTATGCTGTGGCCAGAAGAAGTTGCTCCTATGATGGAAATTGTGAGCAAGACAGGCCCTCGAATCCTTTTTTTTTCCCTGATGAATCTGTAATTTGGATATGCTGCTGGAATCGGTTGAAATCTATTTGTAACTCCACTTTCTCATTTCCCATCATATATGTATGCAATGCTGAAAGTGATGTGAAGAGGGGAATAGATAGCGTGTAGCCTGGCAGACTATGGATCATTGGATTGCATCTATGTTTTCGTTGGTCTTGCGGGTTTGAGACTTTAAGCTTGAGAATGTATTTCTATTTTTGGATTTGTCTTTCTGTCATCTCGATGGATGGATATTGTGGGTTTTTAGTTAACTTTTACCTAACTCATTTTATTTATGAATAAAAATGTAAGTTTAATAACTTATTATTTATTCAAATGTTATGGGATAAAATCCTTATTTGTCTCTGAAGGTTGACATTTACCGAATGGTACCGTAGCGTCAGCGCACGGGTAAGTTACTAGTGTGAACAATTCGATGGGAATACGGGATTGACCATGTGTCATCATCTGCATTACTGCAGGGAGAATCAACATACGTGTCCGATCTGCGTTCGTCGTCTTCAAGGTGATGGGTCGAATGCGCATGCTTCAGCCGTTCACCGCCAGGGAATATGCCGCGCGCGTTCTGATACGATTCATTTTCTTGTGGACAGATGAGTTCTCAACGTATAAACCTTCGCCCCCCTCAGGCCTTCCAGTAGGACGTAACTACACAGCGCTACCACTTCATCTATAAATCTATAAGAGCACACCATCTACCTATATTTCAAATACAATTTTCTTTTAAACTACTCATCCAATCTACGATCCGATTGCACCGTTGTATTCGTAACAATTAAATCTTTACAACAAGATCTCACATGATTATATTTTGATAAAAATCACAAATTACTTTTATGATATGTCTAAATTACTTTTAAATATCACTAAGTTACTTCTTAGATATATAAAAGTAAATTCAGTAAAACCTAAAAGTAATTTACATATATATTATAGAAGTAACTTAGAACAAAACGAAAATAACTTTGGTATGTCATTTGAAGTAAATCCGTTGTAAAGATAAAAACATGACTATATCTAGAAATTAAATTAATCAGCACAAATTATATATACGCATAATCCGTTGATCCGAGGTTTAAATCTGCATCTTGGACTCTTGATACCGTGCATTCATTTGTTCATTCAGCCATTCAGACCCTAGTCAGAGCCTGCTATTCTGGTTGGCGCGGCAGGCGGAGCATGTGGCGCGTGTCCTTTCCTTTCAGCCCCTCTCACGCAGCGACTAGTCAAACAACAGTGGGTCCAAACTCCAAAAAGGCTGCATGCCTTCATGGGCCCCAGGCCGGTATGTGGGAATAAGTTTATTTTATGTTCCTCCGTTTGTTGTCCCCGAGTCTGAAAATTATCCCTGGACAGCAAAACAACATAAAGTATCCCCAACTTACAAAAGCAGGCCAACAAGATCCCTCGGCAGCATTGTCCTTAGTTTTAACTGACGTGGCACCTGCGTTGGTCCTTTTACTAGGTTTTCGTCCCATGTGGCATTGATATGGCGTTTACGTGGTAATTCGATCCAGAAAAATAATAAAACCATCGACCCTATCAATTACACATAAAATAATTAAAAATGGTGGGGCCATATGGTCCCTCTCCCTCATGTCATCCTTACTCCTCCTCTCTTCTCTCTATCCTCTCTCTCTCTCTCTCTCTCTCCCATGCTAGGAGCGAAGCGGAGCAGGCGGGGCGGTGCCGGGCGAAGCGGGCAGGCCTCTAAGGAGGTTGAGCGCAGAGGATGTCCCCGTCGTCGTCAACTGCTGTCGCACCTGCCATAGCTGCACACTCGTCGGTGGCCGCTCGAGCTCCTCCATCATTGCTACCCCCTCCTCCGCTCGCTGCCCACCCCGCACAAGGGAGAGGAGCACCACGCGGGGCAACAACGGGGGAGAGGAACGCTGCACCACGGCCAGTGGGAGAGAGGAGTGGTTGCTCTCCTTTCCCTACCAGATCCCCGTCCCCTTAGCTCTAGCTCCACCAAGCTCCACCAGAAGCCGCCCGACAAAGGGGCAGAGAGGAAGGAGGCTCAACGGCCTCTCCGCTCCCCTCAACCTCCCCGTCTCCTCCTGTCCCTAGCTATTGCCTCACCGACCTCCCCGCCTCTCCCTCTCTGCCATTAGATGAAGACATGAGGAGATAAGGTAGAGAGTGTGAGTTGGAGGAAGTGGGTTCCACTGACATGTGGGTCCTACTTTTTTTTACTGACATACGGGTCCTGTTTGTTTTGTTTAATTTTTTTGGGCCTGTTTAGATTGTAGCCAAAATAAACCTTACCAAATTTTGGTAATGCCAAAATTTAGGCAAGATACCAATATGCCAAATTTTAATGTATTTACCAAATTTGGCAACAAACTAAACGCATACATTTTTTGGCAACTTTGTCCAGAAATGGTATGGTTGAAAATGGCATCAATCTGAACAGCCCCTTGGTTTTCAATTTTTCTTTTTTTTTTATCAAACTACCACGTAACCGTCATGTTAATACCATGTGGGACGAAGTTCTAATCAAATAAGCCACGTAGACGTCACGTCAACCAAACTCGGGGACAATACTATCGAGTTGCCCGGATTTTGTAAGCTGGAGGACGGGTTGTATTTTTTTTTGTTTGAGGACGAAAATCAGATAGAACAACAAATTTGAGGGACCTAAAGTGAACTCATTTGGTGTGTGGACATGTGGCTTGTTTTGCCGTGGTGGGCTGATGCGATCATGCGAAGGAATAAGGTTAATCTGAACAATACTAGATATCTTCACCACTTAACTATTAAAACCGGTGTAATGTGACTTCCTCAATGGTTTTTAAATGGTGGTTTTGCTGACGTGGTGTCTATGTGGTGGTGTTGACCGGACGCGGCTTGCCTGCTCCCCTACAGTGCTCCCATCCGTGCTCCCGATGCATCGGACGGCTTTGTTTCTCCAGCGGTGGGTCCTGCAGCTTCTTTTGTAGCCTTCCAAATCAGCGATGATGTTTTTCCAAAAGAAAAAAAATCTTCAACGAAAAGAGAAGGCTATGAGGTATTGGGGTATGGCGGACGACAAGATTAGTGTATGCTATAACTATTCCTTAATGATCCATTTCATTCTTTTCCTACCAAAGAAACCAAAGGTAATGACCTCAGATATGAGGGGAAGGCATCTCTACGACCTGTTCTATCTAATACTATTGGAATCTGGAGTCATATTGAACATGCATGACGTACAAAATATCCTAATAATCTGTTGCACAATGTTAATTACAACAATAATCAAGGTCAAATCAACAATCTACACTTGATCCTCAGCGTTGATGATATGATCTATCGCTTTGCCGAAGAAAATAAGAAATCTTGCCGCCGCTGATCTCCATTCTAACTCCTCATGACACACGTCACACACCTCCGTAGTCTATTCCAAGTTTCCAACAAATTTCTTCATTCCTCGCTGAATTGTCTGTGATTCCTTTGATTCAGTTATTTTGATGAAAGAGGACGAAGGTGATAAAAAGGTAAAGATGCAATGCAGCGACCGTTAGCAGGTCAGAGGAGTATGACTTAGGAAAACGAAAAAAAGGCCCCATCGCCGAAGAATCAGGGCCGTCCGATGCATCGGGAGCACGGATGGGAGCACTGTAGGGGAGCAGGCAAGCCGCGTCTGTGTTGACCTGTTCTTTATGCCACATGGCATGGACATGACGCTTAGGTGACATTACAATTAAAAAAACATGTGGGCCCATTTGTCTTCGACGCAGCGAATTAAGGGAGGTAAAGTGAACTTATTCCTCATGTGAAGCAGTCTTCGACGCAGCGACATAAGATGGGCCTCAGCAATACGTCAGAAGCCCAACACCATCAGTCCGGGGCTCCGGGCCTGACCCCGGCGAGTATCCGACTTTGTAGTCTGGAAATCCGGGGAATCGTGGCGTGCAACAACCCGTGTTCTTCCCTCGTTCGTTCACCTCTCGTCCCTGCGGCGAGCTAGGGAGCTATTCCTCCATGGAAGTTCTTTTTACGGCAACGGCGAGGAAACTGCAGCCGCGAAGTTGTCCCACTCTCCACCCTCGCGGAGGACAGGGGCTAGCAGGCAATTGGTTCCATGTACCGTGCACGTCGTAGCCTCGTTGGATCAGGTGGCGGGACAGCCGTTTAGATTAGGGCGATTCCGTTTTCCTTCCGGCGTCGCGCGCCGCCGTAGCAAAGGAACTTCACCGTGCCAACGTATGAAAGTCTTGGCGTCAGTACACGATTGACGAGAAGAGGAATCAGTCCCGTCAATAAGAAAACAAAACAATGGTGCGTATGTTTTGGACTAGCTTGTTGATGATGGATGGCAATATAGCCGCAGCTAACAAACATGGCGTTTGTATTCAGAAGAAAAGGAATTATAGTCCTTATTATGTAAGCATTGAGAATTGCGATAGTCCAGATTTCAGAGTTGGCTTGTACGTGAATACAGACAGATATCGGATACAAAAGCGGTGGCAGTTTGTAGTATGTGCGTTTGCTTTAGAAAAACTTTAAGGATCCATACCAACATTATAAATTCTCTAGTTTAAAAATACTCCCTCCGTCCAAAAAAAAACAATCTAAGAGAAAATATGACCCCTCCTAGTACAATGAATCTGAACAAAAGGTTAGCTCTTTTTAGAATGGTGGGAATATATCCTATAATTCGCCTATTTATATTGAGTCCATTATAATTTTATAATATTTTAAGATTTGTCACTTTTATCCCTTCAATGCAATCTAAAAAAATTAGACTATTTTACCCTCGTCTTCTTCCTCATTCTTTTCTTCTTTCCCCTCTCTCCCTCATGGTCCATGTAAAAGGAGCTTTGACGTGGCGGCCTTCTCCGCGAGAGGGTATCTAGACATGAGGAAGAGAGAGGAAGGAAGAATGAAGAAGACAAGGATGAATCAATCAAAAAATTTAGTGGTGGCATATCTTAAATTACTGTAAAATTATAGTCACCTTTTACAGATATACGAATTATAATAACCCTTAGAAAAAAGTGAAAATCTGATGTTGCCCGTGTTGAACCTTGGACCTTTATGACCTTTACTCTACTGCCAAAAACTAATAGTTCGCTTTACGATGAATTTTCGCACATGAGACAGATGGTCCATTGTTTAGGCACGCTCATCTTCGCCGCAGGCACATATCCTTTTCTTTACAGAAAAGAATGAATAAGCATGCACATACTGTTATGCTACTTTACTATCCGTTGTTCTTT